TCTGGATACAGCCCAGGATACCGTTCGCTTTCTGCGTTGCCAGCACACACGGCTGGCTCACGGCCAGCTTCCCACCCCCAGCACCCCTAATTCCTTCTCCTCAGGGCTGCTCTCCAGCCATTAGAAAAAATGGCCCGAGCATGCTCTGGACCATGGTCCTTGAGCAGGCAGGCGGCAGGATGTGGCCAGCGCTCTCTCCCCCAGCCCTGCACCAAGCTGACAGCAGCTCACCCAGCTGACAGCCCATCACAGCCCTGACGGGGCTGGTGACAGGGAGCCCGGTGACACTCGGCTCCTTGCACGTGGTGCAAATTACAGCCTGGCTCAGTAAATCACTGGGATTTGCAGCGTTCCTGGCAATCAGGGACTGCAGAGTGACAATAGCAGGGAAATTGCAGCTTTCTCCCCAGTCCCACCCAGTGTCCTCTCCCCACATTGTGCCCAAGATTATCTCTAATTTAAATACAATGGCTCCTAATGATGGGTTATAATGCTGGCTCTGCAGGACTGGGTGACTCCTTAAAGCACCACAATCCCTTTTCCTGGGGACAGGGTGGCTGTGCTGGTGGCAGGGTGTCTCGCAGTCCACACCTGAGCCCCCACCACGCAGCTCACGCCTTCCTCTCATGCCACATGCGATACCAGGATGTGGTCCAAATTTCAGCAAGCAAAGAGGGCTGGATGCAACACCGTGCCCTCTGCAGCACCTTTTCCTCTGGGGACTGTGCCCCACTCTGCCCTCACGGTGAGCCCGTGCAGCAAGGCACCCTGTGGGTCTGGGTGCCCACTCCGTGCCTTGGCCAGCAGCTCTTGCCCAGAGCCGATCCTGGCAACTGCCTCTCCGACCACTGTGCCACCAAGCTGCTCGGGAGATGGCATGGCAATGCACCCAGCTCTGCCTCCTCCTCACCCTCACCCTCCTGCTCCGGACCCATTTTCCCCACTCTCCCCCATCTGCTCTGCTGCCCTGAATTAGGAATTGCCTCTCGGTATGTATTTATACAGCATCCCGCATGTCTGAGAACTCTGGCATTTAATGAAAAACACACGCTATGGAAGCAAAAGGGTTTGATCCCAAAGTCAAGCTGATCAAGTAAAAATGGGAGCCACAGATTTCAGCAAACACAAAGTGATGCCAGTCGGCAAACGGACCTGAGGTCACGTTATCCATCATCTCTCCGGATCGCAACATCTGCCAGGAATTTGTGAAAATGTCTGGCAGGTCCCCCAAGAATTTAAGCTTGAATTGATTAACTGCCTAGAAATTCATGCTACAAATTCACACACACATTGTTTAAAATACTTCAGCCACCCAGTTTAAGGAGGAGAAGCACCAGCACACTGCCGTGCCAGCGAGCCACGGAAAATGATGAGTCGGTGATACAAATTATAGAATAGGTGAAAAACCCTGAAAATGATACATTGAGGACTTCAGGGTGAATATTAATTTAATAAACTGCTTTGTTAATAGGATATTAAATTAAGAACTGGCAAGTCTCCTGATTAGCCCTACCAGTGAAGTAATGCTGTGTCCTGTCCCTGTTGGCTGCTCTTGCCCGACACCGGCACTGTAAAAATAACTGAAATACGGAGTGACGGAGAAGTTGAGGCATACCCTGTGGGAATATGGTATCGGATACTCCCATGTCTAGCTGTTCCCTTTCATTTCTTTATCAGAAATACAAGATCAGCTGAATGGAACAGCAAAAAAAACCCCACCTCAGAGCATCTCTGTCAAATCCCATTCTCCTTACCTGCAAGCACCGAATCTCACTCTCATCTCAACACAGACTGATGCCGTGAGATGTTCGCAGCGCATCAGTCCCGGGGACGGCCAACAGTGGCATTAATCATCACGGTACTACACAGGCTGAGGAAAGGGGCTGCTTATAACCCTCATCGCTGCAGGGTGCCGCGGGGGCACTGTAGGCTCCCTGCAAACACGTCTGCTGTATATACTTCCCCTGGCCGCCCCTGCCTTTGAAATGGGATCAGGATCAGAGTTGGATGGCTGGGTAAGCCATCCCTTAAACTCTGCTTGCCACCACGGGGCTTGACCTCCCTTTCTCTCTGCCATGCAGGGAGGGGTCTGGGGGTCACAGCAGCTGCAGGGCTTCGTGCTGCCCCTGGGCAGGCATCGCTCTCACGCCGTGGCTGGGCTGCTGTCTGAAACGCTGCTAGAGACCTGGCTCTTCAAATAACAAATCAGCTCCTGCAGCTCAACACGGCAGGGGGGAATCCCTCGACTTGGAGAAAACCCTTTATACTGACCACATAACAAGGGCAAAGCACAGTCCAGAGATGGCTTTCCAAGGAGTCTGACGCCAGCAGCCAGCGCCTTGGCTGCCCCTCCGGCTTTTCTGAGGCACTGGGAACAAAACAAAACTAAACAAAAAGAGCTGAGAGAACCCAAAACATAAATATGTATTTTATTAATTTTCCCTGCTATATCTAGGTCTCCAAACTGCGGTGTGCTGCGCTCTGTGCCAGGAACCAGAGCAGCTATTTGATTTAATGTCAACTTTCTTGCTGTCTCCCGCGAGGGGTAGTCATGGAGGAAAGAGAGAGGGGGAAAACAAGGAAGAAAGTGAGAAAGAACTGAGTGCCAATTATCAACTGCTGCCACCAGAGAGCTCAAAAAATAAAAGAAAATAAAGAGTATGTCACTTTGTGGCTGATCACTCCTTATTAAGTCAGAGAAAGATGCTCCAGCCTGGGCTGTTTCGTGCACCAACATCACCCGGGAGCTGTGGGGCACAGGGCCAGGATAGGGCCCAGCCACAGGGTTAATCGGGCTGAGCTGTGGGGTTAACAGGGCCTGTAGTGACAGGACAAGGTGTGACGCTTTTAAACTAAACGGGGGTAGATTCAGACTAGATGTAAGGAAGCAATTTTTTATGATGAGGGCGGTGAAACACTGGACCAATTTGCCACCTGGGGTGGTGGATGGCCCGTCCCTGGCTCCATCCCTGGAAATATTCACAGTCGGGTTTCCCGTGAGATGGCTAAACCCAGTGCAGGACAGCCAGCCTCGACGCTGCTGGCGTTGCCCATGGGTGCTGCGAGGAGGAGGGGGCAGGCTCAGATCACCAGCCGTGTATTTTTTGGAGCACTGTGAAAAGTCATTATTGATGGCTGAGGCAGAAGATGCCTTTTCCCAGCGACTTGTCAAACCACGGGGGAAATTAAGACGGCTTCCTTACCCGAGATGAGTTATTGCCTCCGCAAACACAGCCAGATTTAAAGCAATTTCCTGTCAAGTATATTCATTATGGCTGGAGGAATCCCTGAAATTTTCCTAGAGCTGTGAAATCCTCCCTTTGCCTTTGTCTTTTCGCTCCAGTGAGATGCCAAGGCACAGCCGATGGGGCAGCCCCTTCCTGCCGCCAGCCAGAGGCAGCTCTGCAGCACAGCCAGCACCCGAAGGGACACGGGGTGGAGGTGGCTCACGACGTGGAGAACAGGGGCGGCCTTTTACTTGCGGCTGCTGATCCGGCCCACGTTAATACACACTCTTCCCCCTTTATCTTTCTGCTATTTCCCAGTACAATGCTGGGTGAGTCATTTAATACATTCTTGAGGTCCTTGCCCCAGTGTGAAACCCAAAGGCTACCCTCCACCCAGGCAGACGTGGATGCTGCAAGGATAAAGCTCATAAATACCCAAGAGGTAGCTCAGACATGTCATCAGGAGAGGGACCAAGTCTTGCTGGGAGCCTGCCTTTTCTCAAAGCTCCAGGGGCAATTCATAACACTGCCCATCTGGGAGAGACGTTTCTTCACTAGGTCTTTCATGCTTTACTCACCACGATAACCCCGCAGCTCGTGGGAGGCAGGGACTCTGTACTGTACAGACACGTAAGAAATCAGGCTGCTGTCCTTAAAAGCCTGAAGTCCCATGAGGTGACTGAAAAAGCTGCATCCCTGCTCCTCCAGACCCAGCTGTACCTGAGCAGGATGCACAGGGCACTGCCTGCTACCAGCAACGCGCACCTGTTTCTGGGTCCCCCCTGCCACGACGCTGCTCTGAGGTGGCCCCACAGGAGTGGCAGCGGGGGCTAAACCCCTTTGAGGATCCGCTCGGGCATCCCTGCGCACACCGGTGAGAGGTGGAGGAGCTCGGGCAGGTGGGTGCAGGCAGGGTAGGGAGCAGGCAGCTGGAGGCAGAGGTGACAGTGCATCATCACCTGCTCTCAGCCAAGCTGCTGGGGCAAGTAGGAGGTTACAAGCGTGAGAGACGCACCCGCGGCAATAGCTCTCTCGGATCCAATTTAAGACCCTGTTCAGCCACCTATGAAATCATACAGTAGAGTTAACCCCGTGTCCTGGAGACAGGTGAGGAAATGGATGGGTCATTCAAAGTCCCCCATGGAGAGCTTCATTTTCTTTCCCACACCAGCACCCCAGTCCCGCAGAGCCCTTGTTGCCGCCAGCAGCGTGGCCGTGCCAGCCCAGGGGAGCGCAGAGACCCTCCCCACCCCAACCCCTGCATTACCTGCGCAGGAGCAGTTTGGGGTGGTTCTTGTTTTCCAGGTTCTTCTCGATGAGGTCGGAGAGCAGCTGCTTCAGCACGTCGGTGGCGTACTCCAGCTTGCCTTGCAGACCCGTCATGATGAGCGAGGCCACGTTGCCACGATCACGCATGGAGAAGCTGAGCAGGAAGACTTTGTTGTTGATCAGCTGAGCAAAGAGCTTCAAGGCCTTCTCCACGCTCTGCTGCCCGTTCCCTTGGACCTGCGGTGGCGGAGAGCGCGCCCATCAGCCAAGACATAGGAGAACACGGGACCGGCGGGCAGCCCTGCACTGCCACGGGGTCACTCTGCCACCACGATGGGTGGGGTGAACGGTTTAACCCCAGCAAAGACTTTGTTGTTGATCAGCTGAGCAAAGAGCTTCAAGGCCTTCTCCACGCTCTGCTGCCCGTTCCCTTGGACCTGCGGTGGCGGAGAGCGCGCCCATCAGCCAAGACATAGGAGAACACGGGACCGGCGGGCAGCCCTGCACTGCCACGGGGTCACTCTGCCACCACGATGGGTGGGGTGAACGGTTTAACCCCAGCAAGCACCCCATCTCAGGGTCTCAGCATCCCTGAACGTGGTGTTTGGTCAGTCCTGAACAAGCATCACTCTTTCTCTCCTCCCCCAGCACGGTTCGCTTTAATCATTGCTCCAAGCTCTACTCTGCGTGCCATAACGCTGCTGCTTTGAGGCTAACAGCCCCATAAATGACATACAGTTTTGCTTGTTCGGCACAAAAAGTGACACTCTTGTAAGTAAATTAAATACTAATTTAGACTATCGCTTTATTATGGAACAAGTGTAAAAAATTAATTGAGGCTTTCAGCCAGTTGCAGATTCAAGTGAAAATGATGAACCACATTAAACAACTCTTTACCAAACATCTTGGAGACTTATGTATTGGTTTTACTAACGTTACATAATTAAGCAACTGTGTAATTGGCAACACATTTATCACTTCTGCAATTCTGTTTTTCATGAGTAAAACAAATAAAAAGCATTCATATTTTGTTTGCTAGAGCGTCAGCTTATTTGGCAATTTAAACAGTGAACATAATGCGCGCGACTGGAAAATTGAAGGCAGAGGAATGGGCTGGGAGAGGCGGGTTTAAAGCCTGCTGAGTTCTACCGGCAACTGCTCAGTGCTGGTGACCCCCTGGAAAAGCATCTAATTTGATGCACTGGTGCCAAGCAGTGCTTGCCTGGAAAAGCCATGCAGCCGTACGGAGCACGTCTGCACGGTGACCTTTGCACGTTCATGATTTTTTCAAGCCCTCAGTGAAAAACTTACATATCTACTTAGACCACCCGATGGAAAAACGAGGGAGATGGAAGCACTGGCTCCCAGCCCTGGGGGAGGCCAGAAATGCCTGGGCACAGGCACACCCATGCTTGCCCTCGGGTGGGCATGCCATGGAACAGCAGCAGCAGGATGCTCCAGGCATGATGCACTCCTTCCCCTGCATCCCACACTGATAACTTACCTGGCATGCTTTGCTGCTGGCCCATAGCAATATAACCCCCCATAAAATAAAACTAAATGGGTTGAAGGGACCTTAAAGCCCACCCAGTCCCACCCCCTGCCATGGGCAGGGACACCTTCCACTAGACCAGGTTGCTCCAAGCCTCATCCAGCCTGGCCTTGGACACTTCCAGGGATGGGGCATCCACAACATCTCTGGGCAACCTGTCCCAGTGCCTCAGCACCCTCTGCGGGAAGAATTCCTTCCTGATATCCAATCTAAACTTCCCCACTTTCAATTTAAACCCGTTACCCCTTGTCCTGTCACTCCCTGCCCGTGGAAAAAGTCCCCCCCAGCTTCCTTGTAGCCCCCCAGGCACTGAAAGGTGCTATAAGGTCGCCCCGGAGCCTTCCCTTCTCCAGGCTGACCCCCCCAACTCTCCCAGCCTGTCCCCATGGCAGAGGAGCTCCAGCCCTTGGAGCCTCTCTGTGGCCTCCTCTCAACTCACTCCAACTGGCTGATATCCAAGGATATACCGGGGAGAAGAAAGCAAGAGGAATCAAGCAGTGTGAAACAGAGATAAACCACCAACTTCCTAGATAAAATGAACTTGGGGCTCACCCAGGGCCTCTAATAAGGTTTGGTGTGGGAGGCTTAAAGGTGCTTCAGGGTTTCACGCTGGCTTCCCCGAGGGGCTGGAGCACAGCCTGTTCCTTACCTCCAGCTCCCGCAGCACGGGATGGTCCTCAATGCCGGGGAAAAGGACCCTCATGGCATATGTCCGATAGTCGAGGTACGGGATCCCGGAGCGATCCAGGTCACTGGTTAATTCATTGATGTCTGTCTGCAGCTCTGCAAAAGCTGTTTGGGAAGAACAGGACAGAGAAACACACATGAGATCCGGGAGGGGAGGCTGTGGGGCAGAGGCTTTGGGGAGGGCTGGCTGCCTGCTCCTTGGGGGTAGAGCAGCAACAGTACACAGGTCGGCTCAGGAAGCTGATTTGGAGGAGACCCTGCTGCATAGCTCAGACAGACCCTCACCCTTGGAGCCTGTCTCAGCAGCTGAGAGTGAGAGCACACACCGCACAGCGCAGATGCCGAGAACAAAAGATGCTTATTAATTTGTATGCAGTTCACACCAGCATATACACACCTAAAACACCTTTAAAGGCTGCAGATAGCAATGAGGATCTATTTTCATAACTTGGTACCTCCCATATTTCCCTTTTTTCTTCTCCTCCTCCTCTATCAACAGTTTCCAAAATAATCAAATCTAATGCAGATCAAATCCAAGCAGAAACTGCCTGCTGCAGGGGTCAGGAAGGATTTATTCCTCCTCTCATAACATAACATCACTGTGTTGTACAGCTGCATGCGTGTCCTTGTGTTCACACTCCAGTGTATGAAATGTTGGCTCAGTAAGGTGTCTGCACCCCAGCTTGGCTGTGCCCACGCTGAAGCTGTGATCTCTCCTGAATATATCATTTTTCGTCCTGTGCTTTCAAGGCTATCCTTTGAAAATCAGCTGAACAAACCCAATGCAACTCTCTCTATATACAGAGGTCACTCTATGAAATCTGCAGCTTTCCTTTTATTTCCCTTTGATTCCCTAAGCTCCTTTCCAGCTGGAGGGATGTAGGGAACAACCCCTCCCTAGAACGCTTTTTGTCTCAACCCACCAGTTGCAGGAATGACTGCCCACTCCACCCTCGTTCCGTGAGGAGGAGCCAGGCTCAGCCGCCTCGCTGCGAGGGACAAGGGTTGCCTGTGTTAAAACCTGCAAGCAGCAGATCTTGCTCCTCCAAATAACACACAAGATTTCCCAGAAGCAAACGCTTGAGGAGTTTCTTCCTATCCCTCAGACCTGCTCTGGGCTCACACCTTATAGAACAGAGGAGGGATTGGATCAGCTTTCCAGCCCGATTGCCTTCCATGTGGGATACATGCTGTTTCTCAGGGGGTCCAAACCTCCTCCATTCCCTACCTCACGCTGCCTTTTTAAAAGCCCCTCACTAAAAGGCCATTAGACAGGGGGGGCATATTGTGCCGGGCACCCTGGGGCTTGCACCGTCCTCGCCGTGGGATCCAGGCATGTCGCTTAAGCAGGATCAAGCTCTAATCCCATTCTCTGCACATTAGGCAGCAGAGCCGTGTCTGCTGCTGACATGCTGCTGCCCACCCTCCCACGCAGCCTCGCAGGGCGTGCACCCTGCTCCTCTCTGCAAAAATCGGGTGACTGGGGTGGCTCTGGTGGGGAAAACCGGGGATGAGGGCACAGGGCTGCAGCACGCAGAGGGTGCCCGGTCCCGGGCCGTACTCACCCTCCTTGCACTCTAGAGCCACCCGGGATTCCAGATTGTCCATCTGCATCTGCAGCCTCTTGAGGGTCAGGTCATTCTCTCGGGACTTGCGCTTGTAGGCGATGAGGACAATGATGACGATGATGAGGAGCAGGCTGCCTCCGGCCGCGATGCTGACGATGGCTGGCAGGGTCAGGAGGCTGTCTGAGACGATGCTCACCGAACCAGGGGAGAAGATGATACCACCAACACGCACCTACAAAGCACAACAGACGATAGCCAGCAGCTCCGGGTGAGGGTGTCCGCTGGTCCCAACGTCCCGTCCTTCCCGGCCAGGGCTGTGCAGACCCCTGAGGCACCGAACTGCCTGCTTCAGCCAAGGCTATAGCAGCTCCGATCGCCTTCAGACACAGGGGGTGCAGTTTATGTGAACACAGCGAGGCTTCAAGTCATGATAAATGTGCCAGCCCTTCACTATCTGGGCTTTGTTCGTATTATCTGATGGCTCCATTTGACTTTCATTTTATAATCTTTCAACTCCTTTTTGTAAACCGCGGACATTAGCAACCCAGTGATAACTTCACTGACAAGAAGCCGGCGCGACTGGAGTGGGAGAACGGAGCAGGGGAAGGAAAGCCCCATGTGGGAGCAAACGCGCTGGAGGTTAATGCCGGGACAGGTTTTCTTGGATGTGCCCTGGCCACAGATGCAGGCAGCTCTCAGCCAGGTTGCGCTTCTGTGAATCACGCTGTGATAATCTGAATATGCTTTGGATGCTGAATTTGAAATAAATCACAATTACAATCTCGTTTGGGCTCTGCTCAAGCACTTGGGCAGCTGCGTGCTCCGGCAGCAGCAATGCCCAAAACCAAAGCAGAGGAAGACACCGACTGCTATCCTGGACGAGGCCGTTAATCCAACGAGTCCAGTGTTCAGATGTCCCTGGCTGCTTCTGCTTTGGGAGAAGGCAAAGCCTTTCCATGCACTTAGCAGATCAGGTCTGGCTACCAGGACTGATACAACCCTTTCCTAAGGTACAGGAGGGAGACCACAGCCCACCGGAAAGGGTCTCACCTACTGAAGGAAGAGCAAGCAGCCCCGGAGGGAGGATGGTACCTGGTGCTGAGGGCACTGCCAGGAAGATTTATTCCTTCTAGAAAACTCTGGTGGTAGGTGGTGAGTTTCTGGAAGGGAGGAAGTTTCTCCATGCTAATCCACATCAATATTTTAAGCTCCTAATTAGCCAGCCATAAAGATCTAAAATCCTACCGATCCTCGGTGAAGAAATTGCACTCAATATCCGAGCAAGTCAGGGAGCTGGAGGAGGAGGAGGAAGGATGAGGAGGAGGGAGGGAAGGGATGCTGACAGGAACGTTTGGTCCCTCACCATCACTTTGTGCTGCCCGGTGAGATTGGGCGGCTCGCACAGCAGCTGGGTCTCGGAGACGGTGACGGCGCAGGGTGTTTCTCCAATCAGCACGGTGTAGTTGAGCTTGGCTCCTCCAGGAGCTGGGGGGCACAGGTTTCTGCCCTAGGGACAAGGGAAGAGAAGGCTGTACAGAGATGCAGGTTTTCATCTCATTCCCAGTTTGTGCAAACGATGGAACTCCATCTAGCGCATCCCGGTCTCCAAAGGGGGTATAAAACCCCTCTTTATGAGAATTTTTTTGCCTCTCCCCATGGGTTGAGTAAGGGTCTCCTTACCTTCAGGATGATGGGCGATCCTGGCTTCTGCTCCAGCACCCCAGTCGGGCTCAGGAGTTCGAACGTGGGGTTGGGGTAGTATATGAACTTGGTGTCGTTGTAGACCAGCAGGGACTGCACGTTGTTAAAGATGAACCCAAACTCATCCGGCCGCTCGACAGCGTCGAGGCCGGGCCGGTACTCGGGGGTGAGGGGGGGCGCAAGGCAGGCCAGCGCCGTGGCGTTCACCACCTTGCAGACCTGTGGGGAAGGCAGTGCTTTGAAACACAGCAGGGAAAAACTTATCCTGACCTGGACAAGGATGTTCTGACTCCTTAAACATTCCCTGAGAAGTCCAGCGGATTCACGTTTAGCTGGAAATATCTGATCCAGGCTTGATGCATTACAGCCATGTTTTGGAGGAATCTGCTTCCCCTCCGGCCAGCACGAAGGCTGTGGTGCAGGGATGGAGAGTGAGCTGCAAACCCAGCAGCATTTCAAAGGAGCCAAGGCTCACACAGCAGATCACTGGGCCCTTTTTCTTTAATCTGTAATTTCTTTCCAGTTGCATCCTCTTTGGCAATGCCAGCTTGGAAAGAGCCACACAGCAAATATCCGGTCCTTGCTACAAACTGGTGATTTGAGGCAATTCCTGAATGCCAGCGAGGGAGAGGAACAATCATCTGACACTCGCGGGCTGGAGGTTACACGAAGGTCGTCTCCCGCCAGGCTGAGGACACCCACAGCTCCTCCAGCCCCTGGAAACATGGAGCTGGCTGATTTATGAGACTTTTGCCTTATAAAGCAGCAAGAGCCCAACTGTCTGGCCTCCCTCGACAAGTGGAAGATTTAATTTCACTCGATTTTGTGTCTTCAGAATTATTTTTGTAGCACTGTAACTGCTAACAACAAAATTAGATGTCTTTTTAAAAAGAAGAGCTCCAATGAAAAAGGTCTTCAGAGGCGAAGGGAGAAAGGGAATAGGAAAAGAATGCTAAGTGATTTGCCCTTTCCAAGACAACACAGATGCAGTCACAAACATCAGTGCATAGAAAAAGTATTTTTCATTTTTACTTGGTCAAAATAATTTCTACGGGTCCTGGAGGTACAATTCTTATTTGTAGCACACAGGAATGTGCTTATTTCCTGTTTAGCTGAGGATTCATTTCAGTTTCTCACTCTTGGACTGAAAAAATACAGACGGGGAAGGAGATGGCATTCCAGATCAACCCCAATTCTGCTCCCAGCTCCTTGCTTTGGGAACATCAGAGTGATAGGACGGAGAAGGGGAAAGAGGCGTAAAAATAACACCCAGCTTCACCAAAATACCCGGAGCCCCATGCCCAGCATCCTTTGCACGGCGAGGTGGGCACAGGGAAGCAGCACCTGGCCTTACCGCAGGGATCAAGCTGCAAAAGTGGCCTGAAAGCTTCTTGTTCAGAAGTGGTTCCCTCGCTCTCCAGCTTCCGTCCACAGGCTGCTACGAGCTTCCTGAGCCCAGAGTTGCAGCAATAGGAGGCTTATTTATAAAGAGGCAGCTAGGGAGAAACTAGTTAGAGATAGCAGCCTCATAGCTGGCAGGTCACAGCACCTAGCTCTGGGCTTTTACACCAGGAGCAGGGCTAAAACAGGAAGCGTGGAGCAGCTGGGGATGATGGGGACAGCTATGCTTGGATTTCCCATCACAATGTGTGTGAAGAGCTGAGCTGGGTACAGGGAAGGGAAGGATGCTGGGGAGAGGAGAGCTCTCAGGGCTCAGGTGTTTGGACAAAGAGTGAATTTCAGCAATGAAACAAGTTTATCTGACCCAAGACAGAATTCGAGGTGATGGAGATGACCTCAAACGCTTTGAAAACTCCTTGGCAGTTACTGTGTTGCTGAGGAAGTAATCTCCCATCTGTGTGTATCAGTACCCCACTTCCCAGGGTCCCCAGGTTTTGCTGCCAGCAGTTTGAGTAAGCGTAGGGAAACACCCCAGAGCAGCTTTTGCCATGGCAAGTCTCACTGTGCAGAGAGCACCGGCACCAGTAACCGTACGCGTGTGTGGGGTGGGATGCTCCCAGGACAGCAGCTACTTACGTTGACAAACTCTTTGCCGTTGTACTTGACGCGGATCCTCGGCTCCTGGATCACGTCCAGGTTGGAGCCGGTGACGGTCAGAGGTGTGTGTCCGCTGCGGAGAAGCGGGAGACACCTGATTAATGCATCGGGCAGGAGGGGCTGGGGCTGTGCAGAGCGACAATAAGGATGCTTGTGGATCTCAGCAAGATGTTTTCTGCAGACCTGTCAGGCACCAGGCGACAGAGTGGGTTGATACCCACCCCCTGAGTCACTGGGGAGTGGAGTCTTACAAGTTAGCTGCGTTCTCTGCTCTCCTAATAACAGGGCGAAGCAGCAGGATGAGAAACGGGACCAAAGAAATCAACTGAGCTGAGACTAAATATGTAAGACAATAAATTAGTCACAGTGTTTAATGATTTACATAGCGATGTTCTTAAAGAACACGATAAATGGTACATGCAGTGAAGGAACTGACGTGCACTTGCATCTGGACTGCAGATGCAGCGAGCTGTCACATGGAGCTGGGGAGGGATGAAGAGCACTCAGTGCCATCAGAGACAGGGAGGACACAATCCCCCAGGTGACAGTATCCCCATTCTCCTACATCCAGCACCCCTGGGCAAAGTCTCACTCTTGGCTTCTTCTTTCGTGTTAACTAGAGCAGCACAGCCCAGATTCACCCCAGAAATCCTTCCCAGAGAGGGTGGGGAGCACTGGGACAGGTTGCCCAGAGAAGCTGTGGATGCCCCATCCCTGGGAGTGTCCAAGGCCAGGCTGGATGAGGCTTGGAGCAACCTGGTCTAGTGGAAGGTGTCCCTGCCCATGGCAGGGGGTGGGGCTGGGTGGGCTTTAAGGTCCCTTCCAGCCCAAACCATTCTGTGATTCTATGAGTGTCCAGCACCCCTACAGCCGAGCCCAGCTGATCCCTTTAGATCCCTCTGTTAGCAATCCTGATCAGCCCATCAAACCCACCGCACCCACAACCAGACAAGATCTTGAATTTGGACTCAAGGCAAAAACATCTTGCAGAGCCTGCTGCGAGACACCTACCCCTTTTAATGGTAATTTAAAAAAATAATTGGGATTTGAAATGAATAGCTGCGTTACAGCCCTTGTGAGCACAACCATTAAAGTAACGCTACAGGATGAGTACGGCCCAGGGTTTTCAGCAGCAGCGATGTCACGGTGACGTGACAGCGCCGGCCGCCCCGTCCCTAGCAGTGAATCTGGGATAAACAGTACATTTTGATTAGCATCAGCTTTTTCCTTTCTTGGTAGCTGCTGGTTTTGTTATATTCCAGGACTACAAGAAGGAGCCTTTAATGAGCAATTGTGCATTTCTTCAGCAGATGGAAGTGATCTTGGGGCTTTATTTGTGCTCCCAGAATCTCAGTGCAGACTGCTACTGCAGTAATTGCCTTGGTAATTACAACTACTTTAGTAACTCTGGACCTGATTTTTGCTAAATGCAAATGCCGCAGACACCCAGCCTGACCAATTGGGGATGCTGGGTGGCACAGGCATTTTCACACAGACCCTTCTTTTGCCCTCACTGAGCATATGCTGGGAGAGAAGACCCAGACTGAGCGAGCTGGCTCCTCTCTCGCTGTCAGAGCCGTGTGTTACCTGGCGATGCTCCACTCGGGCTCGATGTGCTGCACCTTCGGATCGTCGATGTACTCAAACAGCAAAGTCCGCTCCAGCTGAGCACGGTCAACGCTGACGGAGACATGAACAGCGCCCAGGCCGTGGGCTGACGGGGCTGACACGCAGACGATCTCATTCATGGATCGCCTGCACAAGAGAGAAGCCGGAGAAGCGTTAACGGGCGGTCACGGCGTAGAGGCAGAAAATGACCCTTTGTCCTGGCTGCCCTGCAGTGGGGACACAAAAAGCAGCTCACAAAAAGGCTGAGCCATCAGTCAGCCCCCAGACTCTGACACCGGTGAAAGGGATGAGCTCCCAAGATGGGCAGGAGGGTTGCAGTGGCACAGGAGGGAGGGAACTCTGCATGCCCAACCAAGAGAGAAGCACTGGCTCCCTGAAATTAGTCTTTGTGCCAAACTGCAGCCGCCTGCATCCCTCTGTGAACCCGCTGCCTTCTGTTGGGCGTGTGAAAACAGATGGCTGCTTTTTAAATGGGATGCATAAGCTCACTCAAAAGCCAAATTCTTCCCCTCCCCACCCCGCTGCACACACGGGCCCTTGTGAGCAGCATAAAGGAGCCCACCAAGGCCCTGCATGGGGAGGGCGATGCCACCGTCACCGCTGCCTTCCCGCTTTGTCTGCCCATCAGAGCAGGGCTGACCTCAGCCTCGGCGCTGCCTGGCCGGACACAACAGACCATCTGCTTCCATCGGAGCCCCGGAGCAGGTCGAGGCGGCAGGGTAGGGAGGCGCTGCCAAAGCTGGTGGGTGGATGGATAGAGAAGGGGAATGAGATCTGAGTGGTGCTGCTCCCGCTGCCAGAGCAGAGCTGTGAGGAACTGCAGAGCTCTGCGGCCAGCCTGGACACTGAGCCCACAAAAAGTGCTGGACTGACATCCCTGGAAGCCAGTGTCCCTGCATGGCCACCTGCGGGTCGTCCCACCTGCCCAAACCTGCCCTGGGCTTGCTGTGCTGTTTCCGTGGCTCATTGAGTTTTGGCTTCTCACAGTGGAGAGGGCAGGCAGCACCTCGCTGGCAGGCTGGCACTTAAACCAAGATGTGGCACTCCTGAACATCCAGTCCTCCCCATCCTCCCGCTCCTCCGAGGCTGCGCAGTTCGTGGAGGTGCTGAACATCTGAGGCTCAAGTGCAGCCGTGCCCCTGCTCTGCTCCCAGCAAAGCTCTGGTGTCCCTGCCTGGGCAGGGGGTGCTGCGTGGGCACCTTCTCAGGGACCCTATGCACTCCCCCTTCCCCCCCCGAAGGAGCAGGGCCCATCGCTCCGCACTGGGCATTTCAGGGGTATCGAACAGCAGGTACCATGATGCTCCCAGCTCACACCTTGGCACGCCTGTCCACCACAACCGAGGGAACCCATACAACCTCCTAAAATACCCAAAACAAGCTGCACTTGACTGTTTCTACAGATGCAATCAAACGTCTACCCCTTCCTGCTCTCCTCCTCCCTCATTTCATTCTCCACCTATATTTAATTTAACCACGAAAGCATCCGTGTGCAAGAAGCACATTTCTCCACCCTCCTTCCTGATTCCTGGAGCGTTCCCGTGCATGCCCGTGCAGCTGAAGAGCCGCCTGCCGGCGCAGCCGCTCAGCCCTGCCAGACTCCACCGCGGCTGCTTAGCTCTGGCATGAGATCCAGAGTGACGCATGGCTGCTGGCAGAGCTGCTCTCAGCTCCCTGTGATCAGTTAATTAGCTTTCCGTGCTATTATTATGTCGTCATGGTGAATCTACCCACTCCTCCGATCAGAGAGGGGAGAATGGGGGAAGCTGTAATTAGAGTGAATCTCATTAGAAACTGCTTCATCTAATCAGGCTCCCCCACACCCTCGAGTACAATTGAAGTTCATTGCCTCAAAACAGTCCAAGCAAAACAAAGTGCACAGCGTGACCCCACATGAAGGATGGTGCCATTCATACACTGCCGCTTGCTTTGTTTAAGTTTCTGCTTGCCTGCTGTAATTAGAACATACAGAGAATTCCAAACTCTCCCAGGTTTTGCAGGTCAGTATCTGCAGGTTGCCTGAATATAATAACATATTTAAGGGATTACATTTCAGGGCTGATTCTGTTCCCAGGCCAGCTCACTGGCTGCTTCTGCTGGCTGTAACGCTGCTATCCGTGTGCATCAGTCTGGCATCTTTGCTTTGGATATGGGAAGAAATGCGGAGGGATCGGTTGCAGCTCTCAGAGAGTTCATCTGTACTCGAAGACCTCGGCCTGTCCAGACCATTCTAGGATGGACCTAGAGTAAGCACTGCTAATACCCCAGTGTGCTGCGCCACCTGAACACCCACAGCTCCCTATCAGAGAACCTCTCAGTCTTCCAGATGAGAAATTCACCCCCAGGGGACTTTACATTCCCAGAAACTTCCCCAGTTGCTCCGGGGAAGCCCGACCTCACAGGCAGAGTCCCCCTGCACATCACACCGCTGCGCCCACGCTGTGAAACGCATACTGCCAGCAGCTCCGGGGCACCTAGGTACATTTGGTACGGGCACCGATGTGTACGTGATGCACACAGATGTATACTGCACGTATCTTTTTTTAACTAAGCCCCAAGAAAACCCATTAAACCCTGCAAATGTCAACTCAGCGTTTACACTGCTGGGCAGAAAGCAAATTTGCCATAGAAATCCCAGAGGAGATTGATGGCTGTGTGAGTTTCTCAAGCAGAAGGCATGTGCAGATCCTGGTTTTGCTCTGCCATGCAGAAGCCCACCCCTTGCTCAGATCGTTTCTAGGAGGTTGAGGTACCTGAAGCAGTGGCTGCAATAAACATAACACAGGCTGTTGCTCTGGGAAAAGAGAAAGTCCATGCTCTTCTATAATGTTACATTTTTTTCTGGGGGCTGGGTGCAGGTGCTGACGACTACTATAAACATTTTACAGTGATGTTGGCTGTTGGTGTGGTGCAGGATGCAGGAGCCTGCACCGGCCCAGCTTGGCCCCTTACCCGTAGAACTCGCAGGTCTGGTTTCCCAGGAGCACCGACACGCGGCTGCCGGCTCCCAGGTAGTGCCCGGAGATGGTCACCATCGTCCCTCCCGACTCCGGGCCGCGGCTGGGATGCAGAAAGCTCACCGCCGGAGTCTGGAGAAAGAAAAGGACAAACTCAGGGTTCCTGCCTGTGCTGGAGACGCACCGTCCTCCGAGCATCTTCTCACCTTTGGCTGAGCGGGGATACCCTTTTGAAAATGAAAAGAGCAAAATGGGGATGTGTCCTGGACATCTGACACATCTCCTGCCAAATTTTCGAACCCAGCTTGGGAGGACAGACACACCTCAACAAAACCATTGCAGATTTAACCTCGGTAAAAGTATGTGTTTACCTTCAACTTTGTTCTTAATCCAAGGCAAGCTGTTGGCACTGCAGGTTCAAATCTGAAATACACCTCAAGCCGAGCTACAATGGGATATAACTGCTACAATGGAATTCTGAACCCAAATGTTTAACGTTTGCCAACGTGGTAGAGCATCAAAACCCCTCCCGAGGGCACAGCAGTGGGAAACACTGCACAACTTCAACAAAACCATCAGCTTCGGCTTAACATGAACCACCAGTGACAGTGTTTGGGGGAGAGCCTGCTTCCCAATCCTGATGGAATGACGCCCTTGGTGGGTGAGCTTAGATCCCACTCAACATTTTATTGGTGATATTATTGCAGCAATGCCACTTGTTATCCAGCCTTACACCATGAGAGCTATTTATTCCCCTTAATAGAATCTGCAGAAAGCAGGTATCTTTTTATTTGTCCTCAATCAGTGGCTATTACCAAATTGTTTTCGTAATGCTTTCACATTACCCTCTGCAGATGAGAGTCATAAAAAGGCTGGCAGCCTCCCAGCTCCACTCCCCTGGTACCACCTGCTTGGCAGCTCAGTGGGTTTGTCCTGCTTTCTCTACTGTTTTCAGAATGCAACATGTGTTTTCTGGGTGCCACAGCATTTGCCAAAGCCGCTTAGACCAAAAGCCTGATTCCTAAATAGAACAGAGACAAACACACAAACCCTGTTGTGGATAATTATGGAATAATGTTCCAGGAGGGAAAGATTCGTCCTCCAACTGCTCATGGTCAGCTCACAGCTCTTACCCTAGCTGGGGTCAGGAGCTGGGCTTGCTAATCCTCATGGGTCCCTTCCAGCACAGGATATTCTGTGATTATCCCAGCTAATGGCAATGCTAGACACAATATGGATGGTAGCAGCAATGTTTACACTAGGCAGGCTTGGGAGCGTTGCCTACAGCCACGAGAAGTGATTCTGAAATGCAAAACACCTCCAGAGGATGTTCAATGTGTGACTGCCCATCACAAAGCTCCTCCATCCCCAAGCCTGCGACTGTTCCCAAGGTGAATTAGGATCAAGCTGCAATGCTGTGAAGACTCCAGACAGTGAGGGCCCTCTGCCTCCTCCTCCTGCCCCATCCCTGGGCCAGTCTGGTCGTGGGGGCCCAGGGACAGAAAGGAGCTGTTATTTAACACGTCTGTGAGGTCCAGCAGTTCCCGCACACACCAGTAACAGAGCAGTCCGCACACTGGAGAGCACAGCCCTCCCCTGCATCCAAAGGGAACTATAAGCACCTCGTGGCTACAAGAATCTGACGTTCCTGGTGTAAGCACCACCTTGTCTAAGCACTGCAACCCTTGGAAATGCAAAACATTGCCAAAAATAGATTGCCCAGGCTGTAACCCCGAGCAGTCTTGTAAACGACCAAAAGACAGGAGAGCTGGGGGCCTATCCTAGGAAGCTGCAGAAAGTCCCAAGGCTGAGGCGAGACCGGCATCGGGCGAGGGCCTGAAAGCGGAGTAAGAATTTTCCATCTTCAATTCATGATTTGGTGATAACTATGACAGATTTACAGATCCCAAGTAGCTCCAAGGTTCCACCTCCCCAGATAAAACGGGTGTAATTAAGGTGACAGCATCGCTCTTGCGCGGTGTCAGGCACCAGATGAGCTCACCAAGGCATGAGCCCACTCAGGGTCAGAACAGAGCTCTGCTTTAAGGTACCAATCAATTTTACTACTGACTTTAATGGCATAAACCCGCTCTAATGGAATTTGTGGCGGCGCTAAAGAGAAAAATAGAGGCCAACTAACAAAAGGAAATTGTGTGCTGGAAGTTTTAGGTGCCTGAGAAAAAGGAATGATATAATCAGGGTAAGTGCTGAAAATCAGAAGCAACAAGGCAAAGGATGTTAACGCTCGGCGTATGCTCACCAGGTTGTTGCGAGGTACTGCTCCAAGATTCATCTCCGTAATTACCTTCCACTGGCTCCTGGTTATTATTTACCACAGAGGAAGAGAGCATCGTCCTTGTGTCACTCGGAAACCTGCCCTTCAGTAACAGCAAAGCTAGGGACCACACTGGCAGTGCCCTGCGTGGTCAGAGGGGTTTCTGGTATATTAGAGCAAAACGTGATGTTTTGCACCCCTGCTATGTTGCTGAATAAATTAAATCCCAGGGGAGGGTGTCTCATACAACGTGGGGAGGGTGGCAGGGGCGAGCCTGATCTATCTCTCAATTAGTTTACAAATTGTGGGCAATTGGTAAGCGCTGGCATTTCCCTGCACAGAGATTCCGCTGAGCACAAAATCAATGTGGCTGGATGAAGTGCCCTGTTTAGGCAAAACTGGAGATAGGAGAAACCCCAGCTGCAGCTTTTCAAGTTTATGAATCAAAAGGCTGCTAATTAAACAGCAGAAAGGAACGACCCACTCAAACAATGGAAACCACCCTCCCCCAGAGAGCAGCTCTCCGTTATGCAGAGAAAGCCTACACTGAACCAGCACCCTGGGAGGGGAGAAAAAACGATCCCCGAGTATGTGGATGCAGAATTACTCTTCCACCCCAGAGGCATCATGGGGAAAAGATTAAATCTATAGAAACCAGCTCAGGCACGTTTAGGTTTCACAGGCAGTTGATGTAGTTTCTAGCAGGAGTGCAGCACCTGAGCTGCAGAAGGATGGATGGACTCTGGTGCTTGCTCCCCTCCTGCGTGTTTCTGTGTTCCTGCAAAAAGGCCTATCGCTGCCTGCAGGCGAACACAGGGATGGACAGGAACAGCCTCAACGCCAGCACGAAGCAGCATCCTACGTTTACCCCCAGTAACTACGCACCGCAATAACAGTGTCCCTTCGTTACAAACAGGAGGATTTTGAGTGCTGACTCAACTCCTCGACAGTTCCTCACGCACAGAAAGTCCTTGGATATGGAACAAAGTTACGCTTTGTGTAACGCTCCTGCTGGGATTACAACAATGCACTTTGCAAGGAGTAATGGAGCCCAGGAACTCGGAGGTTATCACTGTTTTGGAGGCGCCAGGCTGAAATTCTGCAGGCCTGTGCGAGCTCTAGATCCTAAAAACTGTGCTCGATGACTGGGCTGCCAGCAGACTGTGCAATGCCACGGGGAAAGCACCAAAGATGGCAAATTTGGGATTGTCTTCTGGTGTTGGACCCCATCCCTTCGACACGTGCGCTGGTAGAGCATGGCAGTTCCCAATGGGCACATGTGCTGCCCCCTCCTCCCCAGGACACTCACCACGAACATGTACTGCTGCGCGGACTTGGCCGTGAACTCCGGCTTGCACTCTCCGATGCACAGGAGCACTGGGCCGGAGCTGATCCCTGGAAGCGCCTGCCCCATTTCACAGACGATCCTGGAAGCATAAATGCCGCAGTGAGGCTTTGGCAGGAGGTGCCAACAGTGCCCTGCGCAGCTCCATGCAGGGCTGGCTGGCTTTTCTTCTTCCCCTCTCCCCCTCCCCTTTAACTTTGATATCTGCCTCTCTGGAAGAAGTTAATTACTGAGTCTATTTTTATCCCATGTAGTAATTTAAAGAAAAAAAAATCAAAATTAGACATAATTATTACAAGCTGTAAACTCCAGAGCAAAGCAGAGCACTAATGGCAATATATTAGCCAGTAGCAAAGTGAGTGTGAAGTCCTTAGAGTAACAGATGAGTTCATTAAGGGAACAGCTCACACTGCAGTCTCCCAGTTAATCAAAAATGGAGAAACCTGCTCGGGAATGATAGAGACAGTCGGGGAGAGCAGCCTGTGCAGGGGAGACAGGGCTGGTAACACAGAGCACGGTGATGTGGGTAAAAGGAGTTAGTGGCATGGAGAGACACTGATCTCGTGCTCCTGGCATGGCCCAGCTCAGCCCCGTGGGCACATCACCAGGCTGGGAAAGTTGTAAGGACAAGGAGAGCTGCTGGGGTCAACCAGAGCAGGCCAGGCTGGAGGATGAGGAAACAACTAATCACCCTGTGGGTGCATAACCCAAAAATCCCAGGGCACTGGGAATGTGTAATGCCAACTGGGGATGAGACCAGTGAAATCCTGTCATGCCAGCAGGTTTGAGAGGGGTTTTCATAGAATCACAGAACAGTTTGGGCTGGAAAGGATCTTAAAGCCCACCCAGTGCCACCCCCTGCCATGGGCAGGGACACCTTCCACTAGACCAGGTTGCTCCAAGCCTCATCCAGCCTGGCCTTGGACACTTCCAGGGATGGGGCATCCACAGCTTCTCTGGGCAACCTGTCCCAGTGCCTCCCCACCCTCTGCGGGAAGAATTCCTTCCTGATGTCCCATCTAAAACTGCCCTTTTTCAATTTAAACCTGTTGCCCCTTGTCCAAAGGGCCTTTGTTGTCAGAGGGACTGTCAGCTGGTAGGACTCTCTAGCTCTACCTAAAGGGGATGGATGCTGTTTGCTCTCACAGCAACGCTGGACGAATTCAAGAACATCCTGCCAGGCACCGGAAACCTTAGGAGTAACCTGCCTGGGGCAGGGGATGCTGCAATGCCAGAGGAGACACTTGCTGGTGTCTGGCCCTGGAAGCGAGACCAGCAGAAGAGCCAGAGCATCCCTCCCCTCCCCGGTGAGGCTGAAGCTGCTCTTGCAAAGGAAAAAGGGGAAACGCTCGCGCTCCTGCCGATCACCTGCAAATGCATGAAAGGCTCCAATTTGTGAAGGCAGCATTTTGGCTGCCTTCAGCAGCTTTAAATTCACTACAAATAAAATAAAATACAAAGACTAAAGGAAAAAAAAGAACCTGCAGACGGCATGCACAGTAAATGCCAGAAGGCCTAATGAAATACATACATGCTAGTAAAGAGCTCTAATGTGAAAGTCCTTATTGCTGCACATCAAAACGGGTTGCCTAGAGAGACGCTGCCTTTGGAGAACAGGAACTGAAGCGTCTCAGCTGTGTGCCTTAATCTGCCACGTGCTCCTCTCTCTGCCTTTCCACCAGCCATGGCCCAGGCACCTCTCTCCTCTGCCTGCTACTTCATTACCTCTCCTCCTGCGAACCGCGAGGAGGCAGGGCTTCTGCGGGCGAGGGCTGGCGTTTTGGAGCTGTAATCCCTCAAGGTGAAGTGATTCCTGACACCCCACAGGCAGGAGGGGAGAGCAGAGGTTGTCTCCCACCAGAAGCAAGGATACACTAAGTGCTATATACTGGGAGAAAACACCCAATACTGGACTTTTTGCCAGTAAAGCAGCAGCTACTGTACAGTACCAGCATGATGGGTGCAGGACAGGGTGTAAGCGACCTGGTACACCTGATCCCGATTCCGGATAAAAGCCAAATTCCCAGCAGGTACCTTGTTACAAAGTGATGCATTCGGCAGAGCTGTAGGGTGCTGATTGCTGGGCTAAGTGGCCCTTTCACCAACATTAACCTAATTGCTGGCTGATAGATTGCGTGGCTGGAGCATATGGTGAGTCATTACAGTGTTGGAATTCAGTCTGCCCACAGAACCCTTAAGAGGGTCCTTTTATCTGTATTCATCTTTAAAAGGCAGCTCTCATGCTAGCGCTTGCTGTTATCTGCCCAGGGTAAATGTTTTAATGATGTTAACAAACTTTGAAAGCTCAAGAGCTGTAATTAGAGTCATGATTATAAAATCAAGGTTTCATATCATCAAAGGAGGATAATTTTATAATCTTCCATCCTTTATTTGAAAAATAAAATAAAACAAAATACTGCTCAGCAGAACAGCCCACTAGCAGTGACAGTGCTATCGACGCAGCGCTTGGAGCTGTTCCTGCAACACCACCAACGGTGCTCTGCATGTCCAGAGCACCCTTCATCCATCCCACGATGGGAAAACACTTCCTAACTGAGACACTGCACGCAGCCTCGCTGCTCGGAAGAGGAGATTAATGCAGTTTCTGTGTCATAGGTAGGGAAACCAAGACAAGGAGTGAGCAGAAACCAGCCCAACGCCAACATGTGCTAGTGACAGGTCCTTGTGCCATGCTGGGGATCAGACTGGGACCCACCAAATGCATTTCACTACCAGAGGACAACTGATTCCAGCTGCTGCCAAAGCTGGGGCAGATCCATGCTGCTGGGACCACCCATGGGCCCTGGGCTCCCCCACGCTCTCCATGAGCGGCCGCGGTCCTACCACACACAACGCTGCCCTGATCCCAAGCAGGTGAGACTAGACAACCCACGGGGAGATGTCACATACAGCTGCCCTCCTGCCCTGCACAAATGACCCCCAACACACCTCTCATCACCTTGGCTACAGCAGAACAACCCCCCCTCCCCAACCAACAACAGCAGCATGTGTCACTTTGGGAGCTTTAGTCGCCCATCCCCTGTTACATGCCTATTTTCTAATTTTCGGTTGACATTTTTCTTAGTGAAATAAATGAATTGACTCCAGTGGAGGCCCATTCGGATTAAGCGGCTGTCACCGCCTCACCCGCCTAACAAATGGCTGCGTGCAGCCAGCAGCGCCAGCTGAATTTCAAGTGCGATGGGGAGTGGAGGGAGCAGAGAGGCTCAGCGTCAACAGCAAGGTGCTCATCAGAAAAGTTGCTTAGCAAAGCAGGAACTGCAGTGTGGAAGGAAACAAAACACTTAATGAAAGCTTAAAGGTCTGCTTAACCTCCTCAAGGGAGCATGCAAGCACCTCATCCCCTTCTGGTGTAGGGATAGCATGCCCCATTCCAGGCACCATCCACCTCCAGACCCCTTCCTGCAGGTCTGCAGGGCTGGAAAGGTTACAGAGATGATGCCTGGGGTTTGGATGAGCTATTGGCCTTCTGGGGGTTTGTTGGAGGAGAGGGAAGAGACTTTGGGCAGGCTGGCCAGTCCTGGGGGTCCCACGGTCCTGGAGGCCACTCACTGTTCTGCGACGACGTACTGCTCGGGCAGGGGTGTGCACTGCACCCCGGCAACCTGCACCCCGTGGGCGATCTCGGAGAAATCCAGGCCCAGGTTCACGCCACGGATGGTCACCCTGGTCCCTCCTTCCGGGGGGCCTGACACTGTCAGGATCTAGAGGGAAATAAAACACAGGAGAGTTGAACTGGTGTCCCCGTGCCACCCGTGCTTCTCCAACCCCACATCTGGCTTGGAAGCAAACTTTTCCTTTGAAGGCTGCAACCTCCACCCACTCCTGCTGCCAAACCCAGGCCAGCACCACCTTCTCATGACCTCTCTGGATGTCTTGGAGAAGCCCAAACCCAGGCTAATCCGACATCCGTGCTGAGCTCCAAGAGAGGACACCAGGGTCCCTGAGCTGGCCCAGAGGCGTGGGCAATGCCTCCCCCAGAAACCACTGCAGAAGGATAAGACTGGCTCCTTTTTTAGGTATGCTTAGGTGGTAAGTCACCTTCCAGAACTTGCCTGCTGCTTTGGAAAACTTTGTTAACTTCTGCCTTGGCTGTTCCTGAACGTTAATGTCACATTTTATTAGTAAGTTGGCACCTCAAATGACTTATAAATGTTAAAGGGTGAGGTGTGTGCTTTAAAGCTGCCTGTTTATAGCCTGCCTTGGCCATAATCATCTCTGCTGCTACAGACTTTCATTAAGAACAATATCCTCTTCAATTAGGAGTATAAATTAAAATAACGTATAGTCACAAAATTTGGACCGAAGGCTCTCAAACAGTTGTCCTGAATCTGCCACCGGTCTGTTGTTGCTCCTGGGTGAGTTACTAATCTTCTCCCTGCTACAGCTGTTATTAATAAATAAACATAATCCATAATAATGCAATTTAATTAATTTAATGGATAAATCTTGTTTACGCTTGTTTGTTCCATGCTTATCTTTGGCAAAAGATTTGAGCTCTTCAAAACCTTTTCCTTGGCATTTCGGGATGGATGGCTGCTTTTCTTTCACCTTCTCAAAAGCTCGCCGTTCCCTGGGCGTGAGCGGGTTAGGAAGGCAGCAAAACACCAGCGCCGTCACAAGAGCACGGCCCAGCAACCTGCTGCCCCCCGGGCTGAGTGTGTCCCAAAGCAGCCCCTGTGAGACCCTCCGCACTTTCCATGGGGCATCTCCACAGGGCCACCCTTCCCACCCAATGCGAACTGCTAATGCCATCAGGACACCCCTGTTCTCCATCACTTCTGTGGCTCCAAGTGCATCTTGCTCCCTTCCAAGTCCCAGCTGAAGCCATTTTCCTTCTCCCTTGCTTCGGAATTTCTTTGCTCTCCATCTCTGCTCCCCCCGAAGGTGCTGCCACTGAACTTGGCCACACACTCCGGGGTCCAGCCTGCTCCACGCACCCAGCAGAGCCCACGAGCCGCACTGCCTGTCAACCCACCACCTCCTTCCCCTGCGGATGCTTTAGTTTCTACCTCCCTCGACCGCACCACGGAGGTTGCTGATTTATTCACCATCCGCTGCCTGCTGTGCCGCTGTTCCCTGTAACTCACCCCGCGTCGCATGTCTTGTATCATTTAGCTCCGTGAAGCACTGCGTGCCCACGAAAGACACCGCAAAATCAAGTTGTACTGCATTACACCGAGTCGTGAAGGCCCACACGACATCGCTAGCTGGGCATCACCTGAACGCGGCAGTGCGCGTACTTGACAGTTACAACTGTCCTTTGCAGCTCTGGATTATGTTAAAAAGTGTTTGCTGGAGCACTTACACCGCCGGGCAAGTTGTCTCATCACTGTTCAAAAACGGAGCCACGGTTTGCCATTTCCCAACCTTACCACAACCGGCAGAGCCAGCCGGCATCACCAAACAAAGCAGAGCCCGTGCTGTATTTTGAAAATGTCCTGACCTGGAAAATCCCCAATATGGAGCTCCACTCGACCTAGATTTTAGTGGCCGCTAATTGAACAGTTTTGAAGTAACTGTGCCATAAAGCAGCCCCAGGGTTAGAACAGATGCATTCAATTAATTACAGCTGGAGAGATTCAGTCAAAATCACAGAAAGAAGATAAGTCTTAAAGGTGCCGGTGCACCGAGCGCTGGTGATCCCCACCCCACCCCGAGCAGCGCCCGGCCAGGCAGCACCCCTGGGTGACCTTCTTGGGCTGTGGATGCTCGGCTGAGGCACCCCCAGCCCGACACCATGATCTGCCTTAACCCGGGGCTGTGGTCGTGCTGGGGCTGCAACGACAGTCCAGCTTTCTGGTCTGAGACAGACAAGATTAAGAAGAAATATTCTCCAATTTCAAGAAATATACTTCAGTAGAGTGTCTTTGCACTCAGAGGTCTGTGGAAGGTCAAAAGATCCTGCAAAGGGCAGTTAAGGAAAAACAAGGCCATCGCAGGGAACTTTACATTTGCTGTTTAGGGGTCTGTACCTCTGCTGGAAGTTTTTTAGGTTGTTTGCAGAACTGTGAAGCAGTCTGAAAGTCACTGAGACCTGAAGTGGGGTGTGGGAGGTGGGGCCGTTGGGTTTGTTGATTCTCCCGAATTATTCTGAGCAGGTCAACTCTCCTGCCTGCATCAGCCTCACCTCGTGTGAAGCAAATAAGCAATCCACTGCCTCTAATAAAGCACGTTCCTGCTGCTCAGTGAAAGGATTTATGGAAGTGCAAAGCACTGTATTATCCACACTAAGGATCCAAATACAGAGGTGCTGTGGGTGCTGGCAGAGGCTCAGTTATCCTTACGCTCAGCCCCTGCATCACGCAGGGGATGCAGATGCACCACTGCATTTCTGCTGTTGCTGCTTCTCACTTGAAGCCAGGGATCTCCGAGGTTGGAATTCAAGGGATCCCAGGGATCCAGGAACCCCAGCACGGTGCCAACACACTGCCCTCCCCACAAGACACTGCTATGATGAAGCAGGAAAAACGTTCTCAGCCTGACGTCTTGCTGGTTGCACGGTTCAGCGTTTCTGGCATAGAGCAATATTTAGCCTTCAGAAGACGTCTGTGCCGGAGATGGGGAGACCTAGGACAGGCTGGGAGTCGGGGGGGCTTTCCTCCTGGCACTGGAGGCAAGCGGCAAGCTTAAGCCCGCTCGGCACAATAACCACATGGCATCTGTTAGGGTGCCCAGAGAGCACCTGGCCTGCACAATAAATGGCATAACCCCTGCCCCCTCCCAAAATGTCATCCACCTTCATTCTCTTTGTCTTTTTTCATCCTGCTCTAAGCTGGCTGGAGCCCAGCTGATGAGCCCAGCAGGGAACCAGCACATAAGCATTGTCATCCCGGCATGATCCCTCCTTGTCTCTGCCTTAGCTGATAGCACATTCAGAACCTAATTGTTATCTCAGCAGAGCAACTCCATTATTCAGCCTGACACTGCCCCCCCTTCAGCTGTTTGTTGCACTGATGTTATATTAATGAGGCCTGCAAATAAATGAATAGGAGATCAGAGTGCCGCTTGTTCGCAAGAACACTGATTTTTATTTATTTATTGCTAAGACCACAGACCGTGTGCAAGTTTTGCGCTGTTCAAGGGACACTGTCGGTGACAGCTGGGCCTCTCGCTCAGAAAAAGGAAAGGGCTGTGTATATCCTACTGCTCATTTGCTTTTATGACTAGTAAAACACAACCTCTTCTTACTCGTTATGCATCCCCCGAAGGCGCTGGCGCCTGGAAGCCAGGCCCTTGACCTCCAGCTTGACAGAAAGAGTGAAAAGAGAGGAAAACAGCCCATATTAAAGGCTCTTTTAGTCTGACGATCCTGGCTGCAGTGCAAGCCCCGGTATGAGACCAAACGCTGTTCCTCAGTCGAGCCCGTCAATGCCAGCACATGCAGGGGGGAGAGCATCCCACCAGCGCCGGGAGCAGGTCAGTCCCAGCAGGGAAGAGAGGTCCCTTCCCAGCTCTCAGCGCACAGCCCAGCAGCACCAGACGCTGCGAAACGTACCCAAAACACTGAAAAACCTCGGATGCTGGTACAAAGGACCCAACAGCAATGAAGGCTCTGAAGGTCTCCTGGTATCCAAGACCACCTCCATACGCTTTCCTGGAGGGGAAAGGGGATGAGTGAAGTTAACCTGGGCTGTGGAAAGGTTTGGGTTTAGGAATACTGACCCTGCAGGGCTCCTACTTGGCTAAGTTCTTGAGTGGTTAGGGCTATGGAAAATGGCAAAGCCCAAATTCTGTAAGAGTTTAGCCCTACACGGTGCCCTTCCCATCAGTGGATCCCAAAGTGCACAGAAAAGGCCACTACTTCCCTCTGCTTCCCCCCTTCTTTTCCTGCCACAGTGAAAACTGCAAACTTGACTTTCATGAAAAAATGAAAGCTGAGACTTCATAAGGAGAAGGGTGGGAGGTGGAGTCTGAGGAAAACCAGCAAACACTGCAAGACCTGCGATAAAATCACCACAGCTCACAGCACTGCCGGAGTCAGCGGCCATGGGACAACACATCCCCCGAAACCTGTATTTTCCATCATGGACTCTCACTGTGGAATAAGCCAATCTGCCAACGAAAGCACAGACATTTCCTGCTCGATTCTCTCATCTCCAAATCCACTCAGGGCAATCTCCCGAGACTCTAAACATCCCCTGGCGAGGCACCCCACGCTTCCCGCTTTGAAGGCTGAGACACAGACCTGGTTGTGGAGACAAGGAATCTGTAACAGCAAAGCTCTGCTCTTTTCTCCTTGGACACAGACCAAAGGTATTGCTTTCAGGCTGGACAGTGATAAAACACTCGGTGGCAGCACCATGCCCGCAGCCAGCCACGAGAACCAGCCTGGCAGTCCTCGAATGCGAGTCACTTGGTGGCTGGAGCAGCGTTTTTCCCCTTCTCTGCTTAGCTCAAGGAAGAGTAAATAAATAAATCCAAGACTTTCTCAATGCTACAACTGTCTGAACCATTTATGGTGAAGAAAATCTCAAGCAGAGGCTATTTTGCTTTTTGCATCTTGTGTCATGACCTCGTGCAAGCAGAAAAGCACTCGGACAGGAAAACTTCAGTTTCTGACTACTGGCAGGACAAGGTATCTCAGCAAGCCTTTAAGACTCATTTTCTCTCTCTGTTAAGATAGCTATGATTTGTCAAACCAACAAACCAACCAACCAAGGAAAGCACAGACTCTGAACGTTTATTAAGGCTTTCGCCTCTCTGCACAGCCAGCACCACCGCTGCTCCTCCGCAGCCTCACGAGCTCCACTCTGCAGCCCACAAAACGCTGCACCAGAGAAACTGTTCCCCTTCAAAGGTGTGATGTGGCTGGGCAGAAGGTCTAGGAAAGAAGCAGAGAAGGCCTGGTAACATCCCTGTGGGATGGATGGACCCTCCTCAGCAACATCCTCCTCCATTCAGCCCCAGCCCTGCTACAGGGCCACCAGCCTCTTCCTCCCCTCCTCCATGAAAAGGAGGCGGATGCCCTCTGCCCAGGGGTCTGAGCATGAGCCAGTTTAGCTAATTTGGTGCAGAAACTAATCTAAGAGGAAACTGCCACAGGTACTGGGGTCCTCATTCAGCTGGCAGAAGGTAGCGTGCTGAGAGACCCCGCTCCTGCCCTGCCAGGCGTTTCTGTAGCCAGGAGCATCAGTGCAGCAGGACACCTTGATCCAAGGCTGGTTTACACCCACGTGCTCTGCCTTCTGCAGTATGGACACATGCTCAGGGCAAGGGAGGCTTTTTTGGGGAGTTAATTAGGTGAGAAACCAAAATCTTCTTTCATTCCCACCTGATACGAGCGTCACTCCTAATAGTAACATTAACAGACCGAGTGCAGTTTTACTGGTGCAAACGCTCCTGGGAGACATTTTGCATCCCTCAGTGGTCTGAACAGAAACAGCAGAAGCATCAACTATAGACTAATTAGCTCCCTACTTTAATTAGCATCGTGGCAACAGTCCGTAGCGGTCACCCCAACGCTGGGCGCATCGCTGGCCGGCGGGGCAGTGGGCTGCACACGGTGGCCACGTGCCCGCGGATCCGCACATTAGCTTCACAGAAAGTAGCCGAGCGTTTTATTCTTCAGCCCCGGATGGGCGACGGTGGATTTCCAGACGAGAGGGAGACGGACACAAATCCCCGCCGGAAGGAGAAGGGGCCGGAGAGGCGCGCTCTTACCTCGGTGATGCGAGGGTTGGAGCACTTGACGTTCCGGCTGGACCAGTCGAGCCAGGGCTGGGCGGAGGGCACGCCGCAGTGCGGCCGCAGCGTGCACTTGGCCTCGCCGCTGCACCAGCCGCACTCGAACTTGGGGTCAGCTTTCAGGCACAGCCCGCAGCTCTCGCGCTGGGCCGCGCACTTGTAGAGGTGCACTGCGGGAAGAGGGGACGGGCATTCAGGACGAGGCCAGGAAGTGAAACAGTCACATGGCCTGCGGGTGCTCTTGGACCTACAGGACCCACCGGGACCACAACGTCTCTGTCTGCAGCCACAGTGATGGCAGCCAACACCGCTCTGCCCTGACAGCCACTTCCCAGCCCCCATCTCAGCCCTCCTTCCCAGGCCTGGGAAGCCAACCCAAGCCGACATTACCTTTCAGATCCTCCGGGTTGTCAATAACAAAGTTCCCGTTCCAAACCACAGCGAAGTCCACGGCTAAGTTGCTTATGTCCATCCCATCATAGAGATACTGAAGGAGAAGGTGGAGAATGAAACACTTGGGAGGATGTATCACAGACACTAACAGGAAAAGGAGATTTTTATAAAGAAACCATGGTTATTTTCTGCTTAAAAACATGTGCTGATGTCTGAACCACCACACTTCATCTCCAGGGTCCTGCTTTGACGCCCTCCTCCTCACCAGGAAGAGATAATTAAATCAGATCTAGTCCTTGTGAGAGGTAATAGATTAATTATTCCACTCACAGTGGTTGCTCTTGTCACTCAGTCTCTAGCTTATCAATATAGCCCCTCCAGTTAATCACACTGGCAGGACTGCTGCCTTCAGGCTATCTTCTTATACAGTCCCCATGCACCCTAGTGTGACTGAGAGCTTAAAAATCATGCAGCACGGCTCTGGCTGCTGAAATAGGCAACAGCTGACAAAAAATAGATGGTGCAGAGAGGTCCTTTCCCATTTCTGCTTCAGCCTAGTCTAGGATAGCACTGACTTGAATTATTCACCTTCTCATTGACATCCTGGGGGCCCTGGCAGAGTAAATCTGGATGCTTTGGGTGAATTCCCAGCGTATTCTGAAACCTCCATTATCACAATTAGCACCAACTAATTCTGATGCTTTAAGTCAATGAAGAGCTGCTAAAAACACTTAGAGAGGCAGGTGAAGACTGCCATCCCCTTTGGGATGAGGGAATGATGATTAAACCAAAGCAGGCTGCTTTGACAGTACCCGTGCCAACATACTGCTTTAACTTACATGTGGATGTACTGATTCACCTTGTCTGGGGTTTTACGAAGTTGCTGATCCTCTGTTCAACTGACAGAGCTGTGAGTACAGAACTGCCCTTACAATCTCTACCTACCTCTTCTTATTAGCCTAACAGGAATAAAAGCGCTTCCCTAATGTTTTTAAAGCACTTTGGATAGGAAAAGTAGTATATAGTATTAATACATTTATTATCCAACAAGCTGCAAGGCCCAAAGATGACCAGTGATATATAAATATCCAGTGAATTTTTTAAAAATTTAAAACTTCATTAAGAATTTAAGACCATCTGCACTGAATATTAAAGTAGACCCTGTTCTGCTGCCTAAAACAAACTGAATGTGCCCTGTTTGCCCGCAGACCTCTTCGAATACACATCGAGGAGGGGAAAGACCACGTTCTTCCCTACTCGTCCTCTGGCTGAAGCGTGCCACGTGAGACCCAAACGTGGGCCGTGGCTCGGAGGGTGGCCTGCATTCGCCCTACGTGCTTCAGCGTCCCTGAGTACCTGCCAAGGTGACCTCGGGAGTTCTGGAGCAAAATCCTGCCAGGTCCATGGGCAGGGCTACGCCCCATCCTGCGGAGGAAAGCTGTGCTCCCCTGCCTGCTTCTCCGGCAGCGTCATTCAGATAATTTCCCTCCCTCTGCTGCGCCGGGCTCTCTCCCCTGGCAATTTTCCCTTCCTCTCCTTCCCTGCACCACGCTGCTTTTCAGCATTACTGTATTCATCCAGCTACTGTGACCTGGAATTCGACAGCTCCCCGATAAGGGGGCTGTGATTCGCCTTATCTCCCCCGTATGAATTAGCCTGTCTTAACACCTTCGTGCATTCCCTCCTCCTCCTCCCCTTCCCCTCGCTGACCCCCCGCAGTCAGACAGGGAACCGCCAGATAAAGGATCTTCTCCCAGTCGGTATAATGAAAGACCTCGCATGCCCACAGCAGCTCCCACCTGGAATTTAGGATTAGTTTAAATCTGGGATTTTTCACTCTTCCCATGGCTGAGCCCACCCCTTTGCAGCTACTTGGAGCTGACCCCCAATTTGGGCACCTTTTCGCCCCGTTCCCCTCCCGGTCCCTCACCGAGCTGTTCTGGCACTGGACGCTGGAGCTGTTGAAGCGCAGGGCGGGCACGCGGTGGATCACGCCCTGGATGCTGAGCACACACTCGTACCCACGCTGGCCCGACTGGGGCTGGGGCAGGTTTCTCGCCTTCAGCGTGATGGGTTTCACCTCTCCAACTGGGATCAGGATCTCCTCTGTGGGGAAGAGCTGGGGACAGTCCTGGGGGAGGAATAAAAGAGACGGGGGGGTTACAACAGTGATGGTGTGTCCAAAGGTCTGGCCAGGTCTCAGCCCGCCTGCTCTGGATGGCTGCAGAAATAAAGAACCTCCATTACAGCCCCCCTGCTCTGAGACTGGTGCTGATTTTCTCACCACAGTTGCAGAAGAAGGAACACCACTATTTGGGGAATAAATCCAAGGCATCCTCCCTGCTCTACGCTTGCTATGGGTTTTATTTGTGGAGACACAAGCTCTCGCCCTGCCCTCCTGCAGCAATGTGTTATCAGCTGCTCCAGCTCTGCCTGAGCCCCGCTGCACCGGGAGGGCGATGGGCTGCTCCCAGCCACACGCTGCGCTCCCTGGGCCTCCTCCTTAATCCCATTTCGCTCCTTACACCCCTTGGCTGCGTGCCGCTTCGGAGCGAGACTAATTAGCATGGGATGTGCTTTCCTCTCACTACCAGGTCTTGTTCCACTCTGCTTTATCTCAGTAAAATTACGCCAGTGTGCTGTTCATTTCTGAGGAGACAATTTCTGCTCTATCCTCTCTCACCCCTGACCATGCTCCAACACCTCTGGCCTTTCTGAAACGCCCAGCCAGCTCACTGCAATGCTCCCACGCTGCTGCTCACACGGGGTCTTCCTTAGCTGGGGGCTGCCAGGGTGGGATTCATGCCTCCGCCAGCCGGGTGGGCATGGCATCGGGACCTGAACTGCCCTTTCTATCTCCAAAGCAGTGCTATTCCCTGCTCTGTGCTTCTGGGAAGTGGAGGATTTCCAAGGTCGGGAGGATTTGGTTGCAGTCAGTATCTAGAAAAGTAGGTACAGGGTTTTCACAGGCTGGATTAAGCACCCTAATCCTGATCCCCCTGGGCCTTCAGAAATTCTGCCTGGTCTGCAAAACTGGCCTTTTCTCTTAGAAATTGCAGCAAAGGATTTGGCACGTGAAACTCAGAGTCGCCTCCAGCAAACAGCACTTGTAAAGGTCTTATGGCTTTCAAAAAAGTGGCCATCCTTGGATCCAAGGAGCTAATCCTGAAGAGAAATCTCACATGGGAGGGAGGACTGAAACCAAACCAACAAGCGATGGCACCTGCAGATCTCCTGCCACTGGAGAGACCATCAGACGAGGAGGAAGGCCAGCTCAAAAGACACCAAACAAGCTCTCATGCTCTTGGGATCTTCACAGCACCCTTTGGGCTTCAAACCTTAAGCCTCAACCCTTCTGGACACAGGCCCTTCGGGCATCCAAAGCCTTTTTACACCAGCCTGCAAACAGCAAACCCAGGCTGCCATGGTGATGTCCCCAGCCGAGCTCAGTGACTCAAACCAACGGGCAGCATCAGCTCCTGCTTTACATTAAGGTCCTTCTGCAACTCCGGATGCAATCAGGAGCTGCTCCAGGACTGCATTTTTCTGAGTCAAACACAAATTCAGAAGGATATGACAGCCAGAGCCTCACCGAGCCTACCCATCACCCTGCCAGGCCAGAGCAAGGGCATCAGAGACCACCAGGAAAAGTAAGGGATGCTGAGCTCCAGAGGCAGGGAGAGGCTGCTCAGTGGGAGCCTGGGGGAGAGGAAGGGAGGGAGTGGGGGCTGAGACAAAACAGCACAAAGAAATGTTACTTCAGGCCTTTCCTGATTAGGAACTGAAGCCTCTTGCATGAGAGAGGAGATTAAACAGGTCCTGCTCCTGCGACACCAGGCACGAGGCTGGCTGACAACACTCCTGCTGTACTGAGTCCAGGGTGATGGGAGCTTCGTCATCCACATCGGGAATGAAACAGACCCCTCCCCGCACCCCAAGGGCTCGCACAACTGACTTAAGGGCGAGTGAGTAGTGGCGATAAAGCAAGAACGGTATTTTCATAAACAAGCTGAGGCTCAGGGGTTCTCAGCTCGAGGCAGTGGGAAAAAATGTCTAAGGATAGTTCCTCAGCCCCTGAAAACAGCCTGATTTCAGAGTGTACAAAATACTGTGAAACTGGAAGCTGTCTATTCAATTTTCCATTGAAAACCATGTGAAAACATTTCAAACATCTGTGCGTTTGCAATGAAGGAGCAAAGAAAAGAGCAAAATGCTGCCTCCAAAACGACACATTCTGAAAGCTGAGCACAGCAATTAAAACATTAAGTACAGAGAAGTGTGATTTGTTCGACTTCTGCTGCTATCTGGCCTAAACTAATGCAATTGTAAATTAATAGCAAGTTTTATTGTGGTCGCTGTGCAAGATGCTAAAAGAAACCTCTCCCTGCAAACACTATCCCACCGATGAGCAGATCTCCAGCTCCCTGCACGCCACGAGCACACACTGGATCTCTAAATGATACCCTGACATGAACCACCAAATAAAGACCTACCAGCGCCTGGTAATTGTGTGACATTCCTCCCATAAGATCTCAACATCCTAAACATTATCTCCTCGTAACACATGGAGAGATAAAGTTTTTTTGTCAATTTATATACCAGGAACTGCGAAGGCTCTGACCGTCAGAAGTATTTACATTCTGTTTAGCTCTAATTTGCTTTGATCTAATGGAACCAGGTACCTAAGTACCTGTAAGTATCTGACATGAAATGATTAATCCCAAGCTCAAGTAGAAGTTTAAGAAAAAAACAGACTGACATCTCCCTCCCCTCTGCCAAATCCCAGCCTGGCATCCCGAGTCCTTTGCCACCCTGCCTAGCAATTCAAGCGAATCATCCGGACGGCAAGGCGAGGAGAGCCATCCTCACCAGGCTCCCGCTCGGGCTCTGTATCCAGGGAGAAAATCCACAGCTCTCACTAATGACCATTAAGCACGCCAAGCCCCGCTCCCTCTCCAGCTCACAGCCAGACTGATGGGATGTTGTTTCGCTACTGGCTCAGGCAAGTTGTAAATGAGAAACAGATGCTACCCCGGTTTGGAGAAGCCAGTAGCTTAAACTGCTGCCTCATAAACCTTTTTAGTGGCACTTTTCCTTATATATTTTTTATTTTATTTCTAACAGGGACTTTCACGGATTAACAGCCAAGAGCGATTTCAAACTCCAACAGCCAGAAAGCGGGATACCCTGGGAAGGAAAGAAAAGCCCTTTTCTGCAGTGCAGCAGGTTTACAGGCTGGAAGGGAATGCCACCGTGAAGCTTAGCTCGGAGGTTCCCACAGACCCTGGTATCATGGACCCAGCCCCCACCTTCTCCACAGATTCATGGTGTTTTCCACCCAACCGCCAGCTCTGAGCTGGCTTTGCACGCACCTTCCTTCCTCCTTGTTACGCTCCACACACCCGTAACACCCTCTGCTCGAGGTCTGGCTGCATTTAAGGTTTTGCATTTAACCTCAAAGTCACAGCGAGGACCAACGGGAGACAAATGGCTCCGCTCGAGAGGTCTGTGGCAAGCCCGGGTTTGAGAGGAGAGGCAACCTGGAGCTGCAGAATCTTTCATCACATTATGATTGAAAACAAAAAATCTCCAGCCACCTCACCGGTGGGAGAACCTCAGTGCACAGTCCTGAAAATAATGAATATGTTATGGACCATTATCCTTCCTGGCCACTGCCATTCGTGAGACGACTGTTAAAGAAACGCTTCTTCCTTTGGAGACACGGGAGGGGACTTTTTCAAATCTGCTCTGTAGTGCTGAAAATGCTGGTAGCAAAAATTGTTCTGCCGTCATTAGGGATGAGTAGGACATAATAGATTTATTTTCTTTTTCCTTCCCTTTGGTTTCAGTGGGAAAAAAAGTGTCACATTGGGATTCTGGTGGAAAAAAAGGCACGAAGCCTGTGAGTGCACGCCGCTCGGGGACACACCGAGAACGGCAGCCCCTCTGCGCTGGCTGACAGCTACAGTCATCACACTAATAAGGGGATACACGTCTGGGGATGGAGGGAGACGTAGGAAGACGCCACGCTACCGAAAGCCCAGGGCGCTCGTGGGGAGCCACACTGCTGCTGGCAGTCGCTGCTGAATTTACCAGACGAGTGACCGAAGCTGCAAAAGCTGCGGGGGCTCAGAGAGGGCGCGGGGCTCGCTCGGATGCAGCACGCCTTGCAGTACGCTGCTGGAGGCCCCCTCCTCCCTGACTGTGCCATTGCCCATCCGGGCTCAGCGTTCAGCTTTCAGGCCTTCTTTTAGCTTGTTCTGGAAACTGCTGCCAGGGTGATGTATGCCCACATCCCCACCAGCACATCCCTTCCCACGGAGCACGTGTGAGTGGGTCTGGTCTCACGTGGGTGCTGCTGCAGTAGCACCTCGGTCCCACACTGCGCACACGTAGGTGAAGGAGGGTGATGCCACACGAAAGCCATGATGATGCCATTCACCACCTCTTCTACCTGCTACCTCTGGTCTCAAAGCCAGTGCTAACATAAATTACTTTGTTAGCGGTATATTGTCATCTTTAGCAATGTCTGTGCCAATGCTTGTTCACTTTATAGGAATTTTGTGATGAACTGGGATGCGGGTGGCAGCAGCAGTCCTGCTGCTGGGATCAGGGCTGTGGGAAAGGTCCCCTCCACGTGCTGGTAAACAGCCAGACCATCCCTGGTTTGTAGGGCTTGGGTCTGGTGTTTGATTCTGCTCTTCCCTGTGCTGCATGTCCACGCCAGGAAAAGCTGAGCATCCAGAAAATACAGAATAAAAGGGAGACTGCAGCCAGTGGAATATACAATTTGTTCCATAATCAGTTTACTCTGTTTTTTAATTCATGAGAAGTAAATCCTGCAGTGAGTTAGAAAGGCCATTATTGCCTCCTCTCGCTAAACAAACACACGCTGAATCCTCTCATTATCCTTCTTGACTCCTGCACACCAGAACAAACACAAATCAGAAGATCTGCTGGAGAAAGACAAGGCTCCGACATACGAGTGGCACTAACTCTCGGGGAATATTCTGCCTATGAAGTATCATCGCACACAATTTACAAAGACATTTTATGCTTCTCCAACACTTTTTAGCCTCAAAGATTCCGAGGTCTATAAATATCTTAAAGACCCACGATGCACATCTGTCTCTGGAGTAGAACAGAGCACCCATGGTTATTATTTGTGTTTAACAGAGCAGTTTTAGTAGGTCAAATCTTCTTGCTCTCATGTGGAAAAAATTGCCTAGAAATGGCAGGAACATCACTGACTATGGGATCTAGCTCACATGGAAGAACATATAATGTTTTCCTACTCTTCATCTTAAAAAAAAAACAAACCCTCCACAAATGTTAACTTGCTACACATATTTTAAAGTTATAAATATAAACGAATCTGGCACAAGAATGTAAACCCCTGGCTCACAGTTGTGTTCCCAATGATATAAATTACAGTTCCCGTCACTCATGGAGACACATTATTCTTCATTTATGCTACTGGAGAGGAGAGCAGCCCTCGCTCCTTGGAAACCAAACGTGAAAAGAAAGGCAACTGAAGCGAGACTTTTCCCACTGGTGAATTCCCACCCAGCGTCCTTTTGTCCCGAGCGCTGTGCTGGAAGTGTGTGCGTTACCCGGCCCTTTGCCGCTCATTTGTGAAGTACTGGGACACTTCCAGCCACGCAAAACACGGAAGGCTGGAGAGTCCATCTCTGACCCATAAACTACCTTTTGTGCACCAGAGGGGAGGGCAGGAGGAATTCCCTCTGCCATGGCTGGGTGGGAACATCCTCCTCTGGCTCCCTGCAGCCCTGCGGGGCATCTTCCTGCGCAGCTCATTCCCCTCCAAACACCAAACGCCGTAGCTTACACACACCACAAATCTATTGATGAAAGAAGCACTACAAACCAATCTTCTCAAACTGAGATGAGTTAATCTCGCTGCAAGTGAGCTTTTTGTTTTTCTACTGGGGCTTCTTCAGGCAAGCACATCTCTCCACGAGTCAGGTGCGACCCAGCAAAGTCATTTGCTGACTTTGGTGGACTTAGGGGTGGCTCTGAGGTATCTCCTGATAGTTAACTCCTACCGTAGTTTCCATTTCAGGCACTCAGCAGCGGGGACTGTAAGGACAGATATGAGGAAGGTTTGACTTTGGTTTATTTCTTCAAGGCGCATCAAGAGAATCTGAAATGCTCCATCCCCCTGATTCTGCATCTCACACGTGGAAATGGCATTATCCACACACAGTGGACATCAAAGAGGGATGGGATCCTACATTCTGGGAAACTAATGGGATTTATTTGGTTCTAGCTCTCCACTGGGATGGGCTGTGAAGATATATTTCTGTATCAACATTATCTGCATGTCTTACACATTTAGAGAGACATCTTCTAGCCATGAGCCTCACACACCCCCACAAACCCAACCACCTCAGACACATTAAAGCGGTGTCACAGGCCTGATCTGAAGCTTTGTAAAGTGAGACAATCAGCGCCACAAAACCCTCTTCTTGGTGCAACCCTGCTTTTGTGGGTGCAAGCCAGCCCCAGACCTTTGCCTTCCCATTGCTCTTTGGATAGCAATGTCTAAGCAGGCACCTCCTGCGGACAAGTGAAGTCTCAGTCTATGCAAAGGCTGAGAAAATAGAGTTACTCATCTAATTATTGACTCCTAGAGAAGTGGCCACCTGGAAACAGAGGCCTCAAAAGCGTTGGGTTTACCCCATGTCAGAAACTTCCCACCAGAGGAGGAGAGGAAGAGCAGCCAGCGCAGTCCTGGAAGGCAGCTCTGCTTCAGAGGCTCTAAGGGTTCTGTGTTTATCTGTTGTTGTCTGCCCTTCGATTTCAGTAA